TCCAAAATGCATCACCGTCTAAACGAAAGGCACTTCCGATAAAATATTTTGTCGTTTTTACCGGCAAGAGTTCTTGTGTAAACAGGCCCTCAATCTCCTCCTTAAAACAAATAAGCTGCACATGTTCTGACTTCGGTCCGACAGCAGCTTTAAAATCTCCAGGTGCTCAAAGCTGCATCCATGTTTAGACTATACTTCCATAAACACTGAACACACTCGCTGTCTGTGACATGGTCGAGTCCTCCAGTGCACGTGTGGGACACTTGTGGGGTGTTTCAAGTTCACACTGGAGATCACATACAAGTTGGCATTTAATTGGAAATGTGAACGACCTCGCAAAAAAATTTGATTTAAAAAAAAAAATCCAAATTGAACATTAAGCCCTGCAGTATGAACATAGCCTCAAACTATTCAGGAAAGGTTCATTTCTGCCCTGTAAACGTGACTTTTTTTTGTATCAACACTTGAGATTAGTACTAGTAGTTTTGATGCTTTTCATAACCTAATATTGCAAATCAAGCCACAAAATAATCACCTACCAGTATTCTCTACTAGTCAAGAAAAATGAAAAAAAAAAAAAAAAAAAACTTGTCAGAGGGAAAGCAACCAGCATTAGGGTTTTCAAAAGTTTCAAAATTCTGATACCAAAACTAGTATCAAAACTAGATACTCGTTTGAGCAGGTATCAATACTAAAAAAGTCACATTCACAGGACAGAAATGAACCTTTCCAGAATAGCTTTGGAATGATCTTGAGCTGAATCAAAACAAGTATAAAGTCACATAGACTAGAATACACCCATGGACCACTTTGGAACATACCTGGATAACTGAGGAATTACGTAGATAAGACTACATCGTAAGAAAGTATGTGACAAAGAGGGCCTTTGTCCCCATTTTTTCACTTTTTTATTTCATTTACATCTATCTCAAGTCAACTAAACAGCTAAATAATACTATCCCGGGTTTGTTTTATTTAGTCTTTGTTTAGTTAAATTAATCACCATGCACAGTTACTTTAAATTCATTTTATAGTATTTTATTTGGTTATATCTATTCATTTTGCTTATTAACTTACCACCTTACCTGTGACTCCACATGGTCTGGAGACAAAAGAGGGGGCGTGACCATCGTCGGCCATATTTAAAGGCTCTGACGGAGGTGTTGGCCCAGACCATGTGGAGGGAAGCCTCACATTCAGTTCTTTTTGTGTTATGAAATTGGTTAGTTGGATTTTGTTTCAGTGTTTCTAGTTTATTTGGAGCACTGTTGAATTTAAAGGGGATTTAGGCTCTCAGCCAAGAATCTTATGTAGCTCACCAAAAAAACAGGAAAGTTAAGTCCAACTAACCTGTGAGTTGGTGAGAGCCCAGGGGGAGGGACTTCCTTTCTGGGCAGTATAAAACTGGAAGCAGTGTGGTCATTCAGGGGAATCACCATCAGTGCAGTCGGGTGCCCATGGGGTATTTTTTTTTATTTCGTTAATTTCTGTTGCTTTTGCTTTATTTAAGCACAGTTATTTTTGTAAATATGTATTTTCATTTTGCCCACAACTCAGTGAAGGATGAAATAAATATTTTTTGGTTAAGGGACATTTTTCCATCTGCCTCCTTCTTCGACCACTTTGGCCAGCTACCCCACAAAGTACTATGTTTTAATGTTGAAAATAACATTCTACTGTCTAAATAAAGAGTGTTTCTCTATGATTATTCAGTACTGAGAACCAAGTCTGTTTCTTAGTATGGAAATTTTAGCTTCATGACAACACAGCCTAAACTACACGTTATCAAATCATCATTCAAATAATTTTTAGAGGTATTAGCAAAATGAGCAATTTTACAATCTAAACATTTTTAGTTTCCATCAGTCTCCCAAAGTTTAAAATGACTTTGACAATATTTTAAAATGGGCCTTTTAATAATCACTGTTTGTGCCAGAAAGCAAACGAGCCAATTTTGCAGGATCGTTTTGTTCCCTCTCCAAGAATATTTCAAACATGATTTCACGCACCGCAAAGCTATTCATCAGACGCCATCATATCCATCTCACTTTACCGAGTCTATCCAAAACATCTTATCTACCTTTTAACACAAACAAAAGCAGCGGGTTCCATTTTGCCACTGTCAGTCTTGAACATCACAGAGCAAAATTAATCTTAACAGAAGGACGAGCCAGTGTCCGGGGGGGGATCTGAAATGCGCCGTGTGCCCTCCCAGATACAAAGTTAATATCTGCAGCCTCCTCACTGCGTTATCAGGACTCCACTGCGGCAGCCGGCCCCCGTAAAAGAACCACATCCCCCAGCGCCTCCTCGCTCAAAGTGGGCTCCCAATACAATCGCTCCACTGCACCAACCTGTGACTCGGATTAACTGGATCAGGGCATTTGATGGGTCCTGAGGTGGGTTTCAATGAGCTTGTTGGAAAATCTGTTAATATGTTTTAATATGATGTTGTGGAGATGTAAGATGAAGGAGTGGTCCCATCTGCTATTCTTGTCTTTGTTGAAGGTCTTATGTTACACAAAATTGATTCATATGAGCTTTAAGTCATGTTAGAAAATTGTTACCTCCTCAAAAACATACCTGGAGTTAACCAGGACTAAACCAGGACTAAACCAGAACTGAATCAGGACTAACGGTCGGGACGGGCCGAAGGTGTGTCTCAGTCAAGATTGGCAATTCCAGGACTGAAATCATCCAAATGATTCTAATGAAGATGTGTGGAGTTTATAAACACAATGGAGCACTTCTTATATTACCACATGACATCACAAGGTGGAACAGTGTCTTTTCTACTGAGTGAAGAACTCAGCCTAAATCTGCAGGGTTTGTGTGTTAAACATGTGTGAAATGAAAGAAAATTCAAGCCCAGGTCTGTTTGTGATGAGGAAACAACATTAGAACAGATCAGAAAATACAGTCATATATATGAGCTCTAATAACAAAAAACCTCCCTCATGGCGATCGAAATACACAGACTCAAAAAACTGGTCAAAAAAACTGCTCCAAAAGCTGCCGTCCAAAATGAAGTCCCACCTAGAGGTAAGATCTTAAGACCTAAAATGTCAATCATTACTTCGGGTCGGGCTCGGGCTTCTCTCTCGCTGACTTTTTTCAAATAAATATATGTTTATAAAATGTATGCTAAAACGATGTGTGGATACTAAACTAAGGAATACTTGTTATAAAATAAATAATATGGATAAAACAGAGAAGTAATGTAATGTAATTGCTATTTAACTACTAAACAGGATCCGCAGAGCCAAGCTCTGCGCACGTGAACGCCCCCTCTTCATTTAATAATCTTCCCCTCCGCAAGTCTGCATCTATTTTGACCTGGTATCCCCAATATGGAGGAGCAAGAAGTTAAACTAAAGGCAGGAGAACTGAAAAGACAAACACGCACCAGTAAGAGTGAGGTGTGGAAAAGCTTCAAATTGATTGTTGAAAATGCTACAGAAACTTGCGTTGGCTTCGCTGAATGTCGTCAATGTGGCGCTTTGCTTTCATACGAGAGCAAAAAGACTGGGGCCTATAGTGTGATTTTTTAAATAAAAAAAGCGTGTTCCTGAAAATGTTCCTATTTATAAATAACCCTCCTCCTCCCGAGTCCTCACAAATAAAATATGACATTTCGGGTTTGCTTCGGGCTCGGGCCTGCAAATCAAGTTAATTGGTCGGGCTCGGGCCGGGTCGGGTTTTAATACCCGCGGGCTGGGTCGGGTCGGGCTGGATTTTTTAGGCCCGATCTCACCTCTAGTCCCACCACAATGCCATAGTGCAGACACTGGAGAAGACCAGAGTCCAGGACCAGTTCAAAGTCCCAGCTGAAGTTCATATCAAACCCAAGAACATCAAGAAACTGGGCAAAGCTGCAGCCAGTAGACCTGATCCACTAATATGGTTCTGTCTCCAAGCTCCTGGTGATGGGGATGTTTTAGTCCTAGTTCAGTCCTGGTTTAGTCCTCCTGGTTCTGTCCTGGAATCAGCTCTGGGTTAGTCCTGAGTCAGTCCTAGATTAGTCCTGGTTTAGTCTTGGTTCACTCGGTGGCGTGTGCAGCGCAAAAGTCCGGCATCTCAATCAATGTTTCTTCTGCTCTGTAAATAAAGCCTATGAAGTCAAGATGTATTTATAACAGTCGAGTCGCGTCTGTGAATTTGTATTCGTACTGAAGAAAGCGTAACGGTTTCATTTCATTTTGTGATTGTAATTCTTGAAGTCGTAACTTTTCAATTAGAATGAGAGTTAGAATTTGTGTGTGATTTACCACGGGCACGGGCGAGTAACGAGCGGGACGTTAACGGGTCCGGGTGGGTGTGGGTTTAACTTTGATAAAATCACGGGTTTACGGGCAGGTGTGGTGCTGGACTGCGTGGGTGCGGGTCTCCAAAAATGGACCTGTGTGCTTTTTGTTTGAGAGAAGAGAGTTTTTGACGAGGAAACACCATTATAACACAGATGAGACAAGCGTGACATGAGCCCTACTGTATTTCAGCCTTAGAGCCATTACATTACCTACACTCTTATTTTTCATTATCTCTTATCTTGAACTGGTAAAACCTAATTTGACAGCACAGTAATAGGATGGTATGATGTATCCATGGTAACTAGAAAGAATAAAAGGACAATAGAATATAGTGCCAAGCTAATAATAAATAAACTGAAGTACCAAACATATAGTAGTGCAGTACAGCAGTGCAGATAGATCGAGAGTGATAGCACTGAGTAGAGGGGTGTACTTTAAAGGTGCTGTGGTGTGTGTGTTATCCCGTTTATCCAAGATAAAGACACGTTTCGACTGGCTCTGGTTCCAATTGGATTTGGAGTTATTTTTTTTTAAGTCGGAGTGACTCTTATTTTCACCTAGCTCTGCAGTCTCTCTTCTTCATCGTGTTGTTATGTGTAGATCCTTTCCAGCTCAGTACAGTTCATTTTAGACAGTGGAAACTTTTTTAAATTACACTTTGAATCTTACAATCTACTTTTATTTTTGGCCTACCTCAAACTCCTCAGCGATTTTGGGTCCATCCAGGAAGAGCCTGGTGTTGAGACAGTCCACAGGGCCAAACACAGCTGCAGAGACACAGTACAGTTTTAGCCATTTCCTTTAAAAGAGCAGAAAGTATTCGGTGCAGTACTCACAGGTGAACTCCTTGTACTCCTGGAACACTTTAGGGTACATGGCAGCGGACATGACATCCTCAGGTGTGATGTCCTCACCGTGCGCCGCTCTGATCCCCTCCTCCAGAGCCTTGAAGTCCATGGGAGGCAGAGAGGCACCGGGGCGACCCTCGATACGGGGCAGAGACTTGAGCACCTAAGGGAGATGACAAGATACAACCATCAGAAAACAAGAAGATTACTTTGAGTTTACAATGAGCTTATGTTGAGAGTGAGGTTTGTTTTTCCTACAGCAAGGAAGTATTTATGTGTCTCAAGTTGCGTTCCCATTGGTCTTACCCTACATTATACACATACACTTTAGATCCAACGTGTTTCTCATTTCCAATATTGATTTAACATTATTATTTTGTTAACAGATATTTTTAGGAGTTTAGAATTTTAGTAGTAGCAATAATAGTAGTAGAAGCAGTAGCAGTAGTGGAAGTAGTACTAGAAGTAGTAGCAGTAGCAGTAGTGGTAGTAGTAGTAGTAGTAGTGGTAGTGATAGTAGTACTAGTAGCAGTAGTGGTAGTAATGGTAGTAGTGGTAGTAGCAGTGGTAGTAGTGGTAGTAGCAGTGGTGGTAGTAGTAGTAGCAGTGGTGGTAGCAGTAGTAGCAGTGGTGGTAGCAGTAGTAGCAGTGGTGGTAGTAGTAGTAGCAGTGGTGGTAGCAGTAGTAGCAGTGGTGGTAGTAGTAGTAGCAGTGGTGGTAGCAGTAGTAGCAGTGGTGGTAGTAGTAGTAGCAGTAGCAGTGGTGGTGGTGGTGGTGGTGGTAGTGGCAGTAGCAGTAGTAGCAGTAGTGGTAGTAGTAGCAGTAGTGGTGGTAGTAGCAGTAGTGGTGGTGGTAGTGGCAGAAGCAGTAGTAGCAGTAGTGGTAGTAGTAGCAGTAGTGGTGGTAGTAGTACTAGTAGTAGCAGTAGTAGTAGTGGTGGTGGTAGCAATAGCAATAGCAGTAGTTGCAGTAGTTGCAGTATTAGTTCTTGTACGTTTTCAAACAGGAGCTGTGGACAAACTTGGTGCATAACTTCCCCTCTTTCCTCTTTCCCCTCTCTCCTATCTCCCCCATCTTCCTCCTCCCTCCTCCCTCCTCCTTCCTCCTCTCTATCTCCTTGACGACCCATCAGCGCTCAGTGTGGCGCTGGTTGTCACACTTCTTTTGTAGCGTGCAGACTGGAGCAGCACACAGGAACAAAGCACCAGCAGCAGACTGCTGTAGCTCTGCCTCACACTGTCACACTTGTGCTCTCGTCTCCCGCACACAGGCCATACACACACACACACACACACAAACACACACACACACACACAAACACACACACACAAACACACACACACACAAACACACGCACACCATTTATACAACTATTGTCTTTAGAAACAGGAGGATGTGCTGATTTTTGGTGATGCAAGTGAGTGGAAAGCTAAGGCCACAGTAGCACAGAACTACAACTTAATTAGTCTTAGCAAATTAATAAAGCCTTAGTAATTAGTAAAACATGGACAGAATTCATTTATAATAGACAAATGGTTTATTAATATGCTTCAAGCTTCGTAACTACTTAAAGACAAAGTATGTAACTTTTTTTTTTTGCAAAGAATGCACTATTTTTATTTTTTTATTTTTTTCATTTTCCTCTGAGCAGGCCTGCATCTCTGCAAACCTCTCTCTTCTTTTGTCTAGAGGAGGGCCTCTCTCAGTATGGCACAACACCTGTGTCAGTGGAAAATGTTCAAAAGTATGATTTCACGCAAGAGACGTGCCACTTCCAGAGCATGTGACACTGTACCTTTAAGAGGTTAGGAAGTATAGGGTAATAAGTAAATAGCATGGATCTATTAAAATAAATGGATAGTGTTGCTGCTTGTGTGGTCACTCACTGGAACTTCAGTGGAAAAAATCCCCAGGACTAAGACAGGATTTTTCTTTTAGAGCATAATGTAATCACAAACTGCTCCTGTTTGGCTGACAGGGCACCTACAACTTTCAAAAATGTTGTATTTGTTGGTGATTTTTACCTCTATTTCAAACAAATTTTTTCTCAGCTCAAAACCCTTCAGTTGTCTTTAAAAAAACACTTCATAATCGTTAGTTCCGGCTCCGCTCTGCTCCTCTCTAGCTCCACTGATTGGTCAAAGCAATCAGGTGATACACAAGCCCGTGCCCCCTCCGTGCGCTCACGTGCATTCTTGTTTACCTGACGGAGAAAAGAGCACAACTGCACATGCTCAACTGGCCTACAACCACCAGAAATACCTCACCGGGCTAAGGGCAAATCTGGAATCATGCACCATTGAACTTGGCCCATTGACTTGAATGGGCGGCCATTCTGAAACCCTGGGGCTTGGTAAATAGTTACTAAGCCTGAATCATTCTTAATATAATAATAACCTGTTCATTATGAATTAAGTCTTTGTTCATGCATCATCAAGACTTGAATTACAGTGTAGTTATTATATAGTGTTTCCAGTGCCGTGATTACTTCTTTCTACAATTTAACTGATCAAATTAAGAGTATTTTTGTGTATTTTTGTTTTATTTTTTCTTACTTTGTTGTTTATAGTTTTACACTTTCACAGCACCTGATATATTCAAAAGTATTTGACCAGCTGTGACAGGAAGGGCATCAGATGTAGAAACCAGACAAATCGCTGGTCTATGAGTTGCTTTAAAAATAAAACACCGTAATAAATAATACACAAGATCAAAACCATACCTTCAACAAGCATCATACAAGGACAAGAACAGAGCTCTAATCACATTTTAATGATCTCCCCTATTTAATATCTACAATAACTTCAAATGAACACTCCGATCCCACAGCCTGGAGGCACGGAGAATAAAGAGCTCCCATTAGCTGTTACCACTTCATCTACATTTTATCGCCTTTTCATTAATATTGTACCTCCTATAGTGCACGTGTGGCTCTTTGTGTTCCAATGAGCCCCCTGGTCTCTTTCTTTTTCTGTCTGTCTCTGTGTCACTCGTCACTCTCATCTCTCTTTGCCTCTCCCTCCCCTGTCTCTCTCTCTCTCTTTCTCCCCTCTTTGTGTCTCACCCTCTTTTTTCTGTCTCACTTTCTCCCACTCTCTCTCTGTCTACCTCCCTCTTCTCATCTCTCTTCCACTCTCCCCCCTTCTTTCCTCTTCTCTCCTCTTGTCCTCTCCCTAGGCCTGTAACAATAATCAATAAATCAATTAATCGTACGATAACTTTTAACAAGCTCGATAACTTTTCTGGCCGCGATAAATTCTATTTGCATGTTTGCATGCTATTTTGCAAACCAACGTGTGCTGTGTTTATCAACACAGCAGATGCGCACGTAGACTGAAAGCGCCGCTGTCTGTGCGGTGAACATAAAGCCGCAACACAAGCTAGCGCCGCTGTCAGAGTAACAAAACAGTTCATCTCCGTGTGCCAAAACAAGTCACGATGCCGAATCAACATTGATGAGTGTGACACGTCTCAACAGCCACATGCGTCAAATGCAGCGAGCGAGCAAACGACGACAAGAAATGTCTCAAGCCCCAACAGCCGATTAACCCATACTACCCGAGCGACAGAACTAGCCTAGCCCCCGGGAGAGCCCGAAATCCACTGAAATCCCACAAGACACCGACATGATACCAGACAGGGCAGTGGCTCATCATAGTAAAATAGGATCCTGTGTTGCGGGTTAATACGAACATTTAAAGGACTAAAATAATGAGGCTCACAGCAGCAGCCACAGAGAGAGTGGCCACTATATACCAATGTGAGTCAGTGACTAAAATAACTTTTAAGGGCAATTTTGTTACAGAAACTTAATCCATTTTATTTATTTCTTTGGTTGTATTTGGTTCAGCAATGGTTTATTCAAGTGCATTTTTGTTAACAAGTCCCTGCTGTAAACCAGACTATATTAGGCTAGTCCTGTGTTAACTAGGGATGGGCATGATTAGTCGATTAATCGATAATTGATCATTAAGAATTTCATCGATTACGTTCATTTTAATCGACAAACTGAATGTAAGGTTGCTGTGCGTAGCGTGACCAAACAGGGGTCCGTACATGTAGCTCTCTGCACTCAGAAGGAGCAAGACACAAACAGTCGGTCAGTCTGCAACATGCCGAAGCACAAATGTGTATTTAACGATGACTTGGACAAGAAATTCCACGCTTTCCGTTCTGGTTGAGACAAGTGTGAGGCCATGTGCACAGTGTACAAAGCAGCACATGTGTTTCGGTGTCCAGGAAAATAGTTTTGCCAGGTGAGAGTAGCACAATGTCAATGACGAGTCCCCACCTCCCACCCCCCGTACGGTGTCCTGGTTTTGACAAACACAAATATGGTCACACTAACCTGTATTCCACTGAGTCGTGTCACATGAGTGCACAAGAACTGTTTTTTTTTCTTCGCTTAATTTATGCAAATTAGCCATGTGGTTTTAAGTTTCATTTCTGTGAGAGTTGTGCAAATCTGCATTAAACACATTATAATGTCAAACGGGCTGATGTGGCTCTAGAGTGGTTATGGTTTATATGTCGTGAAGTTGAATTTATTTATGTTGATTAGTAGTGCAGATAGTAATAATGATGATAATTTTAATATAAAAACGTTAATGATTAATCGATAATCGATCTTTAATTCTTCCGACGATCGATTATGAAAATTTCATCGAATGCCCATCCCTAGTGTGAACAAGTCTGTTTTATTTAGGCCTGTTGTTTTTGGTTGTCTTACAGTTCCTGTGTTAAATGCTCTTTAGAAAGTAAGGTTTATTGATCTTTGAAAAGGTGTGTTTGCATTTTTATTCCATGGTCATTATATTAGTTGAAATTGGTCTCAAAATGTCAATATTATCGTTTATCGCAATAAATTCTTGGTCAATTAATCGTCCAGCAAAATCTGTTATCATTACAGGCCTACCTCTCCCTCTCACCCCTCTTTCCTTTCTCACAATTTTTCTCTCTTCTCTCGCACACACATTGCCTCCTCATTCTCTCCCACCCACCTTTCCTCCCTCTCTCCTCTCTATCCGTCGTAATCTCTCCCTCTTTCCTCTTCTCTCTCTCTCTTCCATTTTCTCCTTTCCTTTTCTCTCGTCCCCGTCCTTCACTCTCTTGTATGTGCCGCTGCCACGGCATTAGTCACACAGGAATAACCGTGTAGAGATA